CACAAAACATAATTCACAGGTCATTGGCTATTTTAAATGAAATGCAAGTAGCTTCCATTACAGTATAAGTGAAAAACAAAAATAATATAACTAACCATGCACATTAATATGATTATGAGTCCATATTAAGAATATTGATATATGAGTTCAAATACCACAACAGTCATTCCTAAAAGAAAGATGCTTAGGGCCTAAGCCTTAAGTGTTCCTGTCAGTGTAGGGTTTTTTATGGGCCAAAAAGAATGGAAAAGTGGTTTGTTTTTCAGTGTCCCTTCATCGATGAATTCATCCTGGCTCTTCACAACAAGATCAAAAACAAGCCCGTGGAATTTCCAGAAGAGTAAGTAGACTTGTGGAGTTGACTACTGCAGTCAGGATTCCTCAACAGGAGACATGTGAACATCTAGTCTTACCCATTCCAAACAGGGGGTAATCATGCCAATAAACAAGTATACCTGTCTTTTTGGTGGGTTCCTACCGGTTCGGACCGGTTTGGCCAAACTGGTAATAGTTTGGTGGCCTGGGTCGCTGGAACCAGCAGCAACCCAGGCCTGCCACGCCCACAAACCGGTTCCCCGGGCGGCGCCATAGGTACCACTATCTTGTTTTTCAGTTCTCCGCATGCACAGAACAATTTTAATTGTACGGTGCATGCGCGCACATGAGCGAACTGACAGTAAGTGCCTGCCAGAACCCAGCCCTGATCTGGAGCGGCAGTGAATGAAAGCAGGCATTGAACCCATGGAACATGAGCTGAGGGGGTATCCCACAGGTAGACTGCTGAAGATCTGGAGAGTTGCAATCCTATCAGATAGAGGACATCGCCCTAGTAGTCTTCAGTTAGTAGCTCCATTAACAGAGATTTACTTTAATCACCGTTGGGCAACCTTCTTTCCTTTGTTTTCTTGTCTCACTTCATAAATTATGGGTGCCTCATTTCCCACATTGTAATGGACACTGTATGCTGTATAATTTGTTATACTGGTATTTAAGGAGTATTTTCCTGGTTATTCCTCTATTGTTCAATGACAGCCTGGAAAGGATGCCTCATAAAACTCTCTCTTTTTGAGGGCGAAATCATTTTCAGTCAAAATTGCATTTCTCCTTTCCTTTTGTCCCTTCTGTTATATATTGGTTTTCAGATTTTGAGATTATTTCTCTCACACACCAAATCATCTCAATTATTCTCTCAACCTTTGCTACAGGTCAGTCACCTTTGTATTTATTGACGTTCATTTACTGCCCATTCTCTCTTGACCTTGCCTATTTTCATTTTGCTCCACTTTTAAATACTCCAAGTGGAATTGTGTTCCACTTTCTTTATGATAGATAAAACTCTGACATCCATATAATGGAATAGGGAAAGGCAGTTATTCTACAAAGCCTTTTTTCACTTTTATGGATGAATGAATGAATAAACGAACAGTACATTTCTACATGCATTGCATGTCTTAACATTTCTCCATCCATTTTCCATTTTTAATAAGCCCTCTGCCCAGGTACAGAAATGTATCTACTTCAGTAATGGCATTCTATTTTCTTCACCACCAGTTTGGTAGCAGAAGTGCATGCTTCCTGCACGTCTGGGCATGCACAAAACCTGTGCATGCGCTGAAGGTCCTTGATGCCAACTGGGCGCGTAGGCGGAGCCTCACACCACCGCCACTATCGGTTCGCCCGAATCGATGCAAACCAGTAGAATACCACCTCTGAGCTACTTGATTTACTAAGCATATTTATGTATAACTTGAATTCATTAATTCAATTTTCCCAATCAAACACAACTACCTTGGTCTTAGATGCATTAATTTTCAGCACTGTAACCAATATAGAATAGAATAGAATAGAATAGAATAGAATAGAATAGAATAGAATAGAATAGAATAGCAGAATTGGAAGGGACC